TGTGCATATATATTATATATATATGTGTGTGTGTGTGTGTGTGTGTGTGTGTGTGTATGTGTGTGTGTGTGTGTGTATGTGTGTGTGTGTGTATAGATCAAAAGGATTACATAAGAATTTGATAGATTACATTCAATCTCAACAAGGAAGAAGATTAGCTACTCATGGTGGTGAGAGCAATCTTCATGTACAAAGAAAATATAGAAGAAAAGATATCCTCATTTGGTCTTGAAGCTTTCCTCCTTCTTCAGAGCTCTGTTCTCTCTCTCTTTCTCTCTCTCTCTCTATATATATCTCTCTCTATCTCTCGTTTCTATGTTGATTCCTTTCTTTCTCTTTATCCTTTATATATGTCCAATAAATTAAAATAGAGCATGCATGCTGAAGTGACCAATTTTCTCAACCTTTTTCAAATGATGGTGAAGAAAGTTTCATCTACAAAGCCCTTTATAGTTCATTGAACCCCTTCTAAAATGAAATTTTCATGCTCCTTTAGGTCAAATTTGTTTAACCCTTTCTAAATGATTGAGTAGATTTTTCTAATGCACTCCTTTGCTCTGTCTATGATATACTAAATGCATCAAATTGGTTAAATGGTTTTGTAAATTTTGGAAGCCTTCGAACTTAATCAAATCTCCTGAAATGATAATTGAATTTGGATTTTAGTTAAGAAAAACAGTTTTTATGCTAGTACTGATATTATCATCCTTGTTAATAGCTTCTATCATTGTTATCCTTCTATCCACATTGTAATTTTGTTTTATATTCTGATGGAAGATTATATTGGGGAGAGGATTTACAACAAAAACAATGTGGTATTTGATTCATGTCTTGTAAGGGTTGGGTATATCCCTATACCCTTTATCTTCTCTTTCGATAATATTCTTCTTTGTTGATAAAATAAATAAATAAATAAAACTTGTAATATAACATTAATATTTGTTGTGGTTGGGAGGGGGCTGTTTGGTGCTTAGGGGGCTTTGCTGGGTAATTGTTGTTCGTCATAATATGGGTGGGGATGGATGCCTTGGAGGGAAGGTCTACTACGGTTAAATTTATTTTTTTTTTCTAGTATATACATTGATTTTACGATTGATATAGAATGTGTATTTTAACCTATGTTATATAAATGTTTGTTTTGAGTTAGTGTTAGTTTGGTTTGGGTTTTAGGAACCGAAATCCAAACCAAATCACTGTAAGAAATGCGATTTTTTTGGTTTCTAGTTTTCTCGTTTTCAATTTAATTGGTTTTCAATTTCTTTTAATCAGCATAAAAAGTTTAAAATGATTTGTTAGGTTTTGAACCCCCAAATGGCAGCACCTTCTCTCAATTTAATTATTAACACTATGCTTGCGTCACATTTTATTTTAATTATTAACACTACATCAAAATTAACTAAAAACTACAAAGATGGAAGACAAAGAAAAGAACCATTTAATTATTATATCTATGCCTGCGTCACATTTTATTTTAGATATTTCCTTGGGTTACGGTTGCTGAATGAACAATAAGATCACACAAATTTAGGTGCTGTTTTCTTGGAAGCTAGAGTTTGAAAAAAAATTATG